CAGAGAATATGGGCCAGAGATGGGCCACAACTGTTCTATTAACTTTACTGTATATGGGCCAGATCTGGGCCACATCCGTTAGTTGTACTCATTTTAAAGTGTGTAGGCCACATCTGGGCCACATCTATTAGCTCTTCTTGTTTTACAGTATATGAGCCAGATCTGGGCCGAGGACCCAGCGAGTAGTGGGCCAGAACAAAACCAAGGATGTGGCCCACATGTGAATCACATACATTTTGCTAACTGGGGTGTTCTTCTCTAGTTTAGTTAAATCATTAAAATGACCAAGGCATTTTGTATTAAACATCTGCTACTGTTTTTTTTTGTAAAAGTAGGTGTACAGTAAATATACCGTTAATGTTGCATTGTGTTACTGTAAATCCAAAGAAATCCCCTACTAGAAAAAACAGCATAGACCAGCATGTCTGATCACCACCAAAACCTAAATATGTTGTGTTTTGGATGCTGGTATGCTGATCAACCAGCACGACCATGCTGGGTGATCAGCCAAACCAGCACCAGACAAGCATAAACAAGCTTAGACCATCTTAGGCCAGCATGGAATTTGTGCTGTTGTAAGCTGTTTTTTTCAGCAGGGTTGATAGTGTTGTATGTCGTTTGTACATGTCAGGCAGCAAAATTCTTTATATAGGACGTCTTTTTCACTAGCATAGAGTAAATGCAACACGTTTGGCCGTGTTCTTTCTATCATGTTTTGTCTTCGATACCCTAGTCTAGTTCAATAGCTGGATGCAGTGCTTGTATTCCTGCAGAAAGCTTAATACAGGAGCATCACACTGATCTTTTTGCACCATATCATTAACTAGTGCTTTCCACCTCTTAGCTAGCACAGCTAATTTGAGTAAACAGGCTCACGATCAAGCTGTTCATGAGCTGGGTTTGCATATCACATTTCACTGCACGTAAACTGATGGCTGAATACTGATTACCATAGTGGTTAGCTCTTTGCTTGTCTTCTCTGTCAAGATGATTTCATATTTGTGTGTAGCTTATTTTTCATGACTCATGAAACAGGAAATTGTGGAAGGCCACAAGAACAGATCCAAAACACTAAGATGAGTTTCACTAAAGAGTTCATTTTAATAACTGTGTTGTTTTGACACATATGTTTCATTGAAAAATAGTTTATAGATACTACAACTATTGTATAGAATAGAGTATATATTATTACTTATAAAATTATAACTATGATGTATAGACTGTAATCTATTCTATAATAGATTCTGAAAATTTAGTTTTGAATACTTATATTTGGATAAAGACTATTTATTTTTCCCAAATACAGCACTACTCTGAAAAGTCACAGACAACCATTCATATATTTCATTTCCAGTCAACACAGATCTAATGTACAAGTTGTTCATTTTTCAGCATCAGGAAAAAAGCAGAACATTCTTAGCAGAAAATTTCATGGAAGCCTTAACAACTAAAGATCATATAAACATTTTCAGTATTTAGTGTCCACTCTTTCTTCAGAAGACTTGCTTGCATTTTTTCAAAGAAATCTGCAGGGCTACTTTCCCACACCTCCAAAGTTCAGGCTTAGAAGTTGGTTTCATTTTCTGCTTCGGATGTTCAGAGTAATCTCTAACTAAGTAAAACAAAGTAATTTCCTTTTCTCTATCTTGACTTCTTGACAGCCACACATCCTTTCAGACTCCTATCGTTGAGATTTCAAAGATGAGGTTTCAAAGATGAAGGCTTTAAGTACTGTTTATCTGACAGTGGCAGTTTTGGTGGTCTACCAGGTCTTGCATGGAGTCCTATTTTCTCTGTATCATTTAATCATGTTTTGAACTTCAGTTTTGGTACCTCCTGTTTTTGGACAGCATGATTAGCCGAAAAGTTTCTCTGAATAATGTAATGGTACGTCATCGTAATCTACGAAGTAAATTAATTAAATACTTTGCCAGGGATAGCGGTATTGTAGCCATCACTTGATGCTTATATCTTTTAGCTAAGTTCCTAAAAGCAAGCACAACCACTGTGAGATAAATTAGCCCATACCCATACCAATAGTATTCACTGGTGTTGATATCTTGTGAAATTGTTGTTTTAGCTATGAAAAAAGCCGCACTCGATGTGTTGCATTGAGATGTAGGCCCCTTTGGATGTTTTGATCCAGTCTGAAGCAGTGGTGGCACAATGCCATACTTTGATCATCCACATCAAAATAATGAAGTAAGGTAATACCCTCAATAAACAGCCCACCTCATCGCTACAAAGTGAAGTAATGATAATGCTTGGTAATGCTAGCAAACTCTAAACAAACTCCTCTGGTCACTATCGATTCTATGAACGTTCTTTTCTTCTATGGGTGGGAATGTGAGGTGGATCCAAGAATTGTTCCAGTCTTGTTGCAGTGCACATATTCAACCGCTAGAGGACAGTATCTTGAGTCTTACCTAATCCATCTTTAATGGCCATTTTGTCTGGAAACAAAATAAATGGAGAGTTGTCTCAGGGCTTTGTACAGTGCTGTATATAAAGCCGATGTGTTCATAGTTTTCAGAGGGTCTGTAAGGTTGTATATGGCTGTTATATATTTCATGATTTACATAATAATTTAATATGTAGCAATATGGCCTATTATGTAATGTTCCAACTTCATAGACCCCACCAAATGTCTTACTTTTCTAGGAGAGGAAAAAAAATTTCACACATAGAGGCAGAACTGTCTAACAGAACAGATCGGTCTAACAGAACAGATCTTTTAACTTTGAGTGGCGTGGGTGTGTATGCAACTGTGGTGTTGGTGGGGATGGGGGGAGGTGTAGTATTGAGTCTCACACACACATTTAAGATAGCAAGTGAACATTCACCATAAGATGGCGCCACTTAATTATGATTCTGTAGTTCTGAGTACAAAGCTGATCACCAGTGTACCATTTCTAATGCAAAAGATGGTCTTTGGTTATGGCTAATATATATATTTATTTGACGGTATGTAAATGTGCTACTGATGAGGTTTACCACAGCCTGCTGAGTGAGCATCCACACTGTGGCACATTTCCACTTTTACAGCAGCCATGCATTCAAATCAGTAATCAGAGAGCAATCCCCCCAATGTTGTGTTCAAATTCTGCCCAAAAGCGGCATTTGTGTGAGTTTAGAAATACAAATCTAAGAAATAAAAGTTGTGAAATGGTTAATTGAGAGAAACTTAGAGTCAGACTTCTTTACAGCGGTGGTGACAGGAACCAGAAACTGTGATGTCTGCAATGTAAACATAGCCATTTTACTTGTTTATTGGACAAGTATGAATAACTCTGTTTACATATCAACAGTTTAATTAATTTTTTTTCTAAATTAGTGAAATTCCCCTTTAAAAATAAAAGAAACAATGCTGATAATGTAAATACAACTACTGTACTACCCTGTGGGTGGCTATCAGATTTGAACAATAAATTATTGCATTATTTGTTTCTTTTAGCCAAATGTCTAGGGCCTTTGCTAGTGTCAAAGGCTTTGAGAGAGTGTCACCATATGTAACTACCTTAATTGCCCCCATGAACCTAACGAAATTACTTTCAACCCAATAATGACCACCGTTTCTGGATATTCTATTCCTTATAGAATAGGCAAAGCAAGGCAAGTTTATTTATATAGCACCTTTCATATACTGCTGTCATTCAAAGTGCTTTACAAATGAGAAAATACAGTCAGAAAATAGTGTTGTTTAAGAAAAGCAAACGAGAATAGAAATTAAAAACATGAGCAAAACATGATTAAAATAATAGATTTAAAAGAGAACATCATTAAATTAAATAAACAAATTAATAATTAAAAATTAGATTAGGATAAAAAAATTGCCGTTCCAAAGGAAAAGGGGCTAGAAACACTAACAGTGTTTTAAACTGAACTGAAAGCCTGCTTAAATAGGAATGTTTTGAGCCTGGATTTAAAAGTGTCCAGCGTAGGGGCTCTTCTGATGCTCTCATAGTAGCTAAATGCTGCTTCTCCATGTTTAGTCTTCACCTTCTGCAGGACTAACTGATTAGTTCCTAATGATCTGAGAGTTCTGCTTGGCTCATATCGCTGCAACATATGAAATAAATATACTGGTCCTACACCATTGAGCAATTTATAGACCAGTAATAGTATCTTAAAGTCTATTCTGTAACAGACTGACAGCCAGGGTAAGAATTTATGAATGGGGGTGATGTGTTTCCTTATTTTATTCCCAGTGAGAACTCCGGCAGCTGCATTTTCAATCATCTGAAGCTGTTTCGTTGATAAATAGTTGATTTGGTAACTGTTTTAACATGACTACTAAAACTAAGATCAGAGTACATTAGTATACCAGGTTTGCATACTAGCTCTTCAGATCTTCTGTCTCTTGAATCCAGATAGGCAGCTAGTCTGTGCCTCTCATTGTTATTCCCAAATGTTTTATCTTTATTCAACTGCAGAAAGTTTTGTCCCATCCAGTTAGTGATGTGCTCAAGGCATTCGCAAAGTAAGTAAGTACAGAGTCAAGGAGACCGTAGTTGTTTGGGGAGAGGGCCAAGTAGATCTGAGTTTCATCTGCATAGCTGTAGTAAGATATCCCACAGTCTTGTAGTATATGGCCAAGAGGCAGCATGTATAAATTGAATATGAGTGGCCCAAGTATTGAACCCTGGGGGACACCACAGGTCACTGGCACTCTCTCAGAAAAATTATTTTCAATTTCCACAAAGTAGTCCCTTCCTTGCAGGTATGAACCGAATGATTTTAGGACAGTTCCTGAGAGCCCAACCCAGTTCTGAAGTCTATCTATGAGAATACAAAATGAAGTACAAAAATGAAATCTTCAGCAAAACTGGTTATAACTGGAACATTATTCAAAACGTTAACTTACTAGCTGAAATGTTTATCTGAAATTTGGCCTGAATCTGACTTATTCTGTCTGCCTCATATTCTGTTGTCAAAAAGGCTGCACGTGATAAAGAAAAACCTCCCACAATTTCCTGTGCCTGTGTCTGTGCTTGCAGAAACGACAACTGCAAGTCATATCCGTACACCCCGCACCTTGTGTTTCTCTGGTTTCTCGGTCGTTGAAGACTATCTTTGCAGATGTCTCTTAACGAGTCCGACAGCAGCAACTGCAACCTGACTCATTTTAGGTACCCTCTCTTCAAAATCACCTACAGCCTAGTGCTGGCTCTGGGGCTTCCTCTCAATGCTGTCGCTCTCTGGATGTTTGTACGCCGACTTGGCCTGAGGAAATCAGTCACCGTCATCTACATGACCAACCTAGCCCTGTCTGACCTGCTCTTCACACTCTCCTTGCCTTTACGCATTGCCTACTTCTCCACGGGAAGCTGGACACTGGGAGATGTGGCTTGCATGATCCCAGGAACGCTCTTCTCCGTCAACCTCTACTCCAGCTCCTTCTTCATCATGTTGGTCAGTGTGGATCGCATGCTGGCTGTGGTGTACCCACTGCGCTCTCGTCCTGTCCGTACCACCACCGTGGCCTGGTCCACCTGCCTGACCGTGTGGCTGGTCATCGGTGCGCTGGCCGTGCCCGTGGCCCTCAACCACCGGGCCAACAATGACATGAAATGCAAGGTGTTTCGCTGCTTTGAGCACTATAGTGATCAGAACTGGCGCTTTGGCTTCATCATTCTTTGCATCGTAACCGCTGTAGGGATTGTTCTGCCATTCTGCATCATCCTGGGCTGCACCGTGATGGTTATCCGGCAGCTATGGGGCATGGCGGCGGCTTCTTCGGCATCCTGCTCTTCCCCTGAGGTCAGCATCAAAATGGTATGGCTTCTTCTGTCCAACCTGCTGATTTACGCTATCTGCTTCATCCCCTTCCACGTTGTCTTCATTCTCTATGGCCTTTACAAGTTGGAGCTCCTGCAGTACAATTTCTTGGACATACAAACGGTGACCATGTGCCTGGCCAGTACAAACAGCTGCCTTGACCCACTCGTCTACTACTTTAGCACCAAAAGCCTGCAGAGGAAGAACTCATGTGATTTGCAGAAAACAAAAGAAAAGAAGACATCTCATTCCTATGACTCTGTTCCACTGAGAGGATTCCAAGAATTTTCAATGTGATGTGATAACTTCTGTTCGCATAGGGCTCAATGCCAGTGGGAGGTTTCAGAAGATAAGTTACAAGGTTCATCATGTCATGGAAGTACAAAACAAGAAGCTTTTCATTCAACTTTATTGCCACTCAAAGGGATTTAGGTTTGCAGCTAAGAACACTTGAACAGTCTACATCAGCAACATCATCACATAATACAACACACCTACGCAAGGCCATCAAGTGTAAATACTCTCTTTTTGTATTTAGGATCACTGTGTACAGCAGGTTGAATGCCAATGACTGCAGACACGAAGGATCAAAGTATACTTTCTGACTGTGTCATTTGCAAACCCAGGATTACACAGGGGTTCATAGTGGTTGACTCAGTTTCAGGTAAATTAAATATATTTTAAAGCGTTTAGAAGCTAAGTAAGTTGTGTTAGAGCAGGAAATACATGTATTGGGGTCAAGCTAGTGCACATCACCTTAGCACTGAAAAAAGTAATATTGGCTTTAGCACTGAAAAAGTAATATTGACTTTAGCACTGAAAAAAGTAATATTGGCTTTAGCACTGAAAAAAGTAATATTGACTTTAGCACTGAAAAAAGTAATATTGGCTTTAGCACTGAAAAAAGTAATATTGGCTTTAGCACTGAAAAAAGTAATATTGACTTTTCTTTTATTTGAAATTTCTACAGGAATTTGCAAAGACTTCCACAGACTAGAACATTTAATTTTTTTGTATATCTAAAAAATATTTCCTGTTAACCATCAACTGGATTTTAAAAAGATGTATTCATGGGAGTCAAACTAAGGACTGCGAAAATGAATATTTTCCCTGCTCTATGTGGTCAGTTTAATTCATGATGGGCTCAGCAATTGGCTGATGAGTTGATTCCGTTGTGTTGAATTAGGGAAAACACTAAACTCCATAGTGTCCCCTGGAGTGACTGGTGGCAAGACATACAGTATAAAGATATCTTTCTGGTGGTTGACTCTGGATCATGATGCAACAAACAAAGCGGTTAAAAACCACAAAGCTTGAGAAAGTTTCCTATGTTGAGAATGTACATGCAGTTATTTTTAGGGGTCCAAGCACGCTGCCTAAAACTCTTTCCTTTGCATCATTTAGTTTCTCCGCACTTGCTTTAATTATTAGTCAGTCACCTTAAAATGGAGTATGCAGCAAAACAATCTCCTTCAGATGTTCAGGGTATGATCGCTATTTCTCCTTAACGCACTCTGACTGGTATTTCAGTAAGTGCAACCAAGCCTGCAAAATGCCACGTCATTTTGGTAACAAGCTGTCTTCCTTAACAAAGAACAGTAATATAGCTCTTAGCTTTTTTGTTCAATGTCTTCCATTCAAAACACACATACGTGTGCTGTGTAGAACATCTAAAATTGTAATTTATTTTACAAATCAAATGATAACAGGAGCGGACATTGACGCAGCTAATTAGAAAGCCAGCATCAGCTAGCACAGAAGCTGTCTAACATTACCTTCTTTGGAACCCCTCAGATCCCAGAGCCCCTTTTGTTAGCTGTAAATAGGCTACCTCCTCTGGCTTATGCTGTGTTCAACCAAAGCAAGTTGGTTATCTACTAGATACTCCGTCACTGGACATTACCAATGCTGAGCAAGTGGCGATTATTGTAAATAGTGTACTTTTTGAGTGGTTCCCAAAAATCTTGCACATCCCTGCTAGAAAAATCAGCATAGACCAGTTGTGTTTTGGATGCTGGAATGCTTGTCAGCAACAACAGAAGTTATTAGACTGGTCACCAACAAAACCAAAATATGTTGTGTTTTGGATGCAGCTAAACTAGTACAGGCCAGCTTAGACCAGCATGGAATGCATGCTGGTTTTGTGCTGGTTTTTAGCAGGGATTAGTTTTATTTGCTCAACTTATTTACAATTTGGTTTGTTAGCACTGAAAATGTAGCCTACAAAATTTCATTTCAATCAGTGTTGCACCATGTGACTTAGTTTAAATATGGGCGGGAATCACCGGGCGTCTCACGATATGATATTATAACGATATGTTGCCCATAATAATGATGATATCATGATACTGCGATTCTGTGATACTCGATATGTTGCAAGACAGTCCCCTATGATACAACACGATATCTGTGTAACTGAAGGAAATAAAATAATCCTAAATGGGCGAGTGGCAGGAATTATGTATTTATCAGAGTCAGTTTCACAGAATTTGACAACCAATATAAAACAATGTACAACAAACGCTTAGCTTAGTGCCTCTTTAACACACATACACTGACCGTGTGTCATCATTCCCATGTACGATACCCATAAACTGCCAGAAAGCAGAACAGTTCTGGGGTAAAAATGTCTAAAGTTAGAACACAACTGTGTCTCACTAAAAGCTTTTCTAATATCTTTTCTAACTAAGGCTGACTTCGAGTTGTGGATGATGACGAAGACGGTGGCTTCGCATGTTCATTGTGTTGCCCATGCAGTTTATTTTAACAAAACACTTTTTGCAAACTGCATAGTCTTTGTCTATTTCATTTGTCCCTTTAACACTGTAAAAGCTGAAGTGGGCCCAGACCTTCGACTCGAAAGAGGGCTGTGCCTATCTGATTTATTTCTCCCCGCTGTCCGCCATTTCTCCCCTGTGAGTTTCTTTTTCTGCACCGCAGATTTACCCTATTCATTTGATTACCGCCGTAGAGCCACTATGTGGATTCATGAAGTAGTAAATCTGGTAGATTAAATTGGAGGGGGAGTCCGTTTAGAGCATTTACAGCACATGCATGTTTCAATAAATAAATCAATATTTGGTGCCAGTGTATCGCTAAGGTATCGCAAAAGAAAGCGATAAGATGTATGGCCGTATCAGTATTTTATCCCACCCCTACATTTAAAACTCAGAATTTGTGACTGGAAGCTAGGACAAATGAAAGAAAACAACAGGGAATTCTGACTTGCAAAGTTCAGGGTGGTGTTGTAAAATTCTAGTTCAGCGTATGATGTAATATTTACATCATAGCTGCTCACATAATTTCCTTAATATTAAAAACATACCACTTCTCTACTGTAAATGAGATTTGTTTTGGATTACAAATACAAACACAGTTAAATCTGTAACTGACTGTAAAATCTGCTGTTTAAAGTGATAACTTCATAGTTATCAGTTGTACCACAAACTATGGCTAGCTTTTTGCTTACAATACCTGCTGTCATGGATGTCCACTTTGTAGCTTAAACATGCAGAGCTCAAAAATGACATACTTCCCTCTTCCAATGTAAACTGAATCAGAGAGGATACATGCAGCCAAAAGTCATTATGTCAAAATATTTCCATGAAAGCAGTCACAAGGTTTTGGAGAGCGGGAGCAACAGAGGGACAATTGATTGAGGCCTGACTTAAGCAGACAGGAACTGAACCCTGTTTTTTTCCCTTTGGCTTGAATAGGCATGCGCCATCTTGGTTTAACTTTTAGATGATTTTTGGTTGAGTGCAGCATAAGTTAAGTTTTTTAGCTAGCGCTGCAGCAATAGCTAGCACAGTTCATCGGCAACTACTAGGTATTGTTTACAGCCAAATGTGCTTTTATGCTGATATTTATTAGATATTATGTTTTTTAGCAGCAAGCCACAAACAAAATAGCATTATTTATTTACTTTTTTACCCAATTTTGCACTTTGCAGGCTAAATGAACTACAAAATATAAAACACATAGTCCTACCAGAGACAGATGTACATGCACCTCAGATAAAACATTCAGAGTAGCATACATTTTCACAGAAAACATGTTTTATAGCCCTGATTAATTTATCAGATAAATCCTAACACCTTTCCAGTAGGAGTCAGGGCTCCAAAACCACAGTAGCAGCACACCCTACAAAAGAACAGAACTTTATTTAACAACCAACAGGGGGCTAACAGGCTAACAGGCTCCTCTACTAGTGTTCAGATATAGATGAAACTGCTTTATAGATGAAACTGCTTAATTCAGATACAGTTGAAACTGCTTTATAGATTAAACTGCTGTATTCAGATATAGTTGAAACCAAGTTGAAATATTTACTGAAGAATTTACTGTAAAACTGCCATACGTAATATAAAACCAAGTGTGTGTACATTACCATTGGTCTGGCGCTAACATAACATAGAAAACACCATTAAATGAAATATCGGAAATTAGCATAAAGCTAGCAGACAAAAAGGCTACTTACAAAGTGAGGAGATACTATGGTTGAGTGGTTCTTTGGATGAATGACACAATAGTAAGAGTAAAAGTAGTTTCTTGTTGAGGTAATTTTGTTTAAAAAATTCAGATGTTTGAATATAATTAATATAAATAATAATATTTGACAACAATTTGCAAATATGCAAAAAGTGTTCTGACTTGTACTTTATATGACTAAATACTGCATGCTTATCACTTTTGTCCAGTTTTGTATTATAGCCTATGTTTTTGGTTTCTGAAATGAAATGTATTCCTGTATGAGTTTAAGATTTTTGTATTGTATTTAATGTTCATTGCAGTCAGTGTCTTCTTTAGTTCACTGTCAATAATCTTGTGTGATGTGTTTGTAGTTGAACCTGTTGAACCAGTAGTCTAAAATAAACATGTTGATTTGGCTGGTTTATTTTGTAAATCTGTAATTTAATATGCTAATTTGTTTCCATTGTGGTCTTTGAGTAATAGCAACAACATATTGCACTTCACCTGCTCAAGAAGGATTTACAGAATTTGCTGAATTCAAATGAGTAAGACACGGAAGGACATTGAAAACATGTAGAAAGTGTTCAAGTTGGGTTTTGAAAGCACAGATAGTTGTGCAAACATGCAGAAGCTGAACTAGAATGTTCCACAATTTGGGGCCTTGAGGATCAACAGTCTGCCCCCAGTTGTCAGTCTTGGGTAGTAACAAACTACACGTAATGTTACAGATTACAGATAGTTCTTTAGGGATGATTGTTTTTCAGGATTCCATTTTTGATTGGATAACATCAATAAATCAGTGTAATAATTCTAAATTTATTAAATGTGTCCATGAAGTGCACAATAGCACAATAGTGCAATAGTGATAACAGGGATTATGTGTGATTTTGGGACACAGAAGGATATTAAACCTGTATCTTCTTGAAATTTTGAAACTAATTTACAAATTATTAAAATAAATAAAACAATAACCTTTGTAGTACAACCACAATTCCAAAAAGGTTGGGACTATACTAATAAAAACAGAAAGCAAGTGATTAATAAATTAGTAAATTCTGTTTGACCTGTATTAAATTGAAAACAGTTTAAAAAAAATAGAAAACAGTATAAAAAATGTTTACCCTTTGAACTTCACCATTTTTTGTGAATATACGCTCATTCTAAATTTTATGTTAGCAACACGTTTCAGAAAATTTGGAACATATTGAAATAAGCAAGGGAGTCTGTGAAAAAGACAGTGTCTAGAAGGCAGCCTGTGTTGCTCCAAAATGTGTTCAGGGTTATTTATGCCTTCAGAGATGTGCTAGTTACCCAATAATATCCCCCACATACAAAGAACTTTACAATGGTAACAATCTGGATGGTCCTTATCTTCTTTAGCTGTGTGAACACAGTGTTGACTCATCAGACCACAATACACATTGATGTGCCTGAGCCCAAAGGAGTCATTATGGATGTTGCTGACACATGGCTTCCACTGTGCATAGTAGAGTCTTAACTTGCATTCATGTATGCAGCAATGAACAGTGTTTTCTGACCATGATTTTTCAAAGTATTCCTTGCAGTCGCAGAAACATGCTGGTTTTTAACTGAGTGCTGTCTAAAGGGGTCAAGGGTCATGGGCATTCAGTGATTTTTGGCCTTGCCTTTTTCCTTTTTCAAGGACATTATGTACTGTAGAAGGTGAAATACGTAAAATCCTTGCCGTTGTTTGTTGAGCAGCTTTGTTTTTAAGCTGCTGTATTTTTTACTGATGCATTCTGTGTAAATTGGTGAAAATTCCTTCCTTATAAAGGACAAGATTTATATATCACTGCTTTCTGTTTTCTACTGTCCCAACTTTTTTGGAATTGGGTTTGTAGAAGCGTTAAAATTATTTAGTAATGAAATTTGTAACCAGTGCTGGATCACTGCCAGCAGTTGAGAGTTAGAGGTGTAAAAGGAAGAAGACCAGCA